CGACCGACCAAAAAAAAAAAAAGAAGAATTTTCCAAAGTTTATAGCATACAAATTTATAGCATGATATCCTGTAAATTTACTTGTATTTGATTGAGAACCTCAAACCTTTTTAGTTTTCTTTAAATCATCTCTCTCTTTTTTGGTTCCAGTTTGGGCCCGAAACTGAGGGCCTAGGCACTGTCCCTGAGCTTTTCTTTTTTCTTTATTTTTTGGCCACAACTTCACTTTGTGCTTTGTTGGTGGTTATTTGGAGATAAGAATCTCACAGCTTTTTACTGCCCAGGCTGGCTTTAAACTGCAGTTTTCAGATCTCAGCCTCCTGAGTAGCTAGGATTATAGGCATGAGCCATTGACACTTGGCTAAATCATCTCTTTAAATGATGGCTCCCACTTAATTCTGTGGCTTCCCAGACCGCTATAAAGCACCCTGAACTCTTGTAAGAGAAGGCCTGGGGCCAGTTTCCTCCCATTTCAATTTCAACATGTGTGGAAGGAAAATAGAAACTGAATTTCAACCTCCTGTACAAGTGTTGTAAGGGGATTGGGCAATATCACATGACCCAATAAGAGCTGAAGGGAAATCTCCAACGATCCAGAGAGAGAAGAGGTGAGAGTTCACAGGGGCAAAAACTAAAGCTTGTGCTAACCTCACTGTTGGCTCCTACTTGAGTCATATGCAGTATCTACCCCATTCTAAGATGGGCAGGAGACTGCTGGGATTCCTTACAGGTGGGCCTGGGGCATGCTACTGACTGACAACTTTCCCAGTGCCTGACACACAGGAAACACTCCACAAGCTACTCCCATTTCCCTGTTTGAAGGCCTTGACCTGCATTAATCCCTATAACATCTTCATGCAGAATCTCCTTTATTTTTGGTCGGTCATGGGCCTTGACCTGCATTAATCCCTATAATATCTTTTTTTTTTTTGGTCCAGTCATGGGGCTTGAACTCTGGGTCTGGGCGCTGTCCCTCAGCTCTTCAGCTCAAGGCTAGCACTCTACCACTTGAGCCATAGCACCACTTCCGGCTTTTTTCTTTTTGCTTATGTGGTGCTGAGGAATCGAACCCAGGGCCTCAGGCATACAAGACAAGTGCTCTACCACTGAGCCACCTTCCCAGGCCCCCTATAATATTTTCATGCAGAATCTCCTTTATTTTTGGTCAGTCAGGGCCTAGATACTGTCCTCTGAGCTCTTTGTTCAAGGCTAGCCCTCTACCTCTTTGAACCATAGCTCCACTTCCAGTTTCCTGGTGGTCAATTGGAGATAAGAGTCTCATGAACTTTCCTGCTCAGCTGTCTTTGAACTGCGATCCTCAGATCTCAGCCTCTTGAGTAGCTAGGATTTCAGGTATGGCCCAACAGCCCCAGCCAGAATCCCTTAGTATCCCACTTTACAGAAAAACAAAACAAAACTAAGCTGAGACCCAAAGATATTCAGTAACTTGCCAAAAGTACATGGCCAAAGAGCGCTACAGGTGGGATTCAAACTTAGTTTAGTTCCAGTATGAGAGCAGTTAAACGTTTGGCTCTTGTAAAGGTAATGTGTTCAATAAATGAATGAGGAAATAAATGATTTACAAGAAATGAGAAGCAAACATTTTAAGCCAGATGACTCTAACTCCTTACAGTGCAGTTTGTTGCTTCGGCTGTTAAGTGGTTCTGGTCCATTGACGTCTTTGCTCTTTTCATTATCTTCAATGGGTCGGAAATGAGCCAAAGTCCTCATAAATCCCCGGAAGTTTACCTGGTCCTCTCTGACGAGGAAAGATCAACAAACATATGTTATCAATCAGGGTGATTTTTGTTATTGTTTTGTTTTGGCACAGTGCTCACACACATCAAGCAAAGCCCTTCCCCATCCAGTTGTAATACCAGCCCTCAGGTGATTATTTCTTGGCTGGGGTAACCTGAAAATGCATTTAATAATTTCTTTTTCCACATGTCTCAATGTGAGCCTTATGCCAAGCTTGCGCATGAGGGTACTATTATTCCCACTTAAAAATGACTAGCCAGGCCAGGTGCTGGTGGCTCACGCCTGTAATCCTAGCTACTCAGAGACTGAGATCTGAAGGTTGTGGTTCAAAGCCAGCCCAGGCAGGAGAGTCCGTGAGACTCTGATCTCCAATAAACCACCAGAAACCCAGAAGTGCCGCTATGACTCAAGTGGTAGAGGGCTCACCTTGAACTGAAGAGCTGAGATATAGATAGACAGATATATGATTAGCTAGGCTGGGAATGTGGCTTAGTGGCAAAGTGCTGGTCTAGCATGCATGAAACCTGGGTTTGATTCCTCAGTACCACATACACAGAAAAAGCCACAAGTGGCAGTGTGGCTCAAGTGGTAGGGTGATAACCAGGAACAGTGCCCAGGCCTTGAGTTCAAGCCCCAAGACTAGCAATAATTAATTAATTAGTTAATTAGAAAATGACTAGCCAGCAACAATGGCTCATGCCTATAAGCCTCACTAATTAGGAGGCTGAGATCTAAAGATCACAGTTCAAAGCCAGCCTGGGCAGTGAACTCTGGGAGACTCTTATCCACACTAAACTACCAAAAACACTGGAAATGCTGTGGCACAGTGGTAGAGTGCTAGCCTTGAGCAAAAGAAGCTTAGGGAGACTACCCAGTCGCTGAGTTCAAGATCTAGGACCATCACCAAAAAAGATAAAAACAAGTTAGATACTGAGAGGTAACAGGACTTAACCAAGCCAGTTGTCAATTGAATTTACTTCTAAATTTATTCCAAAGAATGGATTTAAAGTAGTTGCCAGGGCTACAGTTAGGAAAGCCAAGACTTGAACTCACTGCTATGAACTATGCAGCAAGCAGCAACTTAAGTCATTTCAACCTAACAACTCCTCAAACCACTTCCCAGGCCTCCCCTACAATGAGGTATTCTTAGATATTTTATGTTCCCTTCTTTTTTTGGGGGTCCAGTCGTGGGGCCTGAACTCTGGGACTGGGCGCTGTCCCTCAGCTCTTCAGCTCAAGGCTAGCACTCTACTACTTGAGCCACAGGGCCACTTCTGGCTTTTTTCTTTTTGCTTATGTGGTACTGAGGACTCGAACCCAGGGCCTCAGGCATGCAAGGCAAGCGCTCTACCACTGAGCCACCTTCCCAGCCCCTATACTTAGATATTTTAAAGTCATGCATATGAAAGAGGGATTAAAGAGAAAATTTTGAATATAGACTCCTAGACATGTTGACGTTTAACTTCCAGGAGGACAGACAGAAGAGATAGTCTAGATATGACAAAATTAGGGATTTTCAACACAATCTGGGCTGAGGTGACCCAACCTTAGATTCAGCCAAAGGCAGGAGGTCTAAAGATTGCTTGGACTCACCCCTCTGAAAAGAAGGCATTGATGATCCTGTCCCCTAGTGGGTTGATGGCAAGTTCTGGAATCCTCTGGAAATCTTCCCGGCTGCCAAGAGAATTACCTTGAGTTAGAGCTCACTGGCCCTTAGTATGAACTCCTTTAGGTAATCAGGAGGGTACAACGTTGCCAGAATATTACCACCTGAAATTTACCTCTGTGACAATTACACCAAATCATTGTAAGGAAGAGCAAGGTAGTAGCTGTCAAGTGTTTCTGACAGCAGTCAGGGTGGAAAAAGCCAGACTTTGCTAGACCACATTCCAACACACACACTAATGTCAATAAACCGGATGCTTCTTTTTTCTTTTTTTTTGGCTGGTTGTGGGGCCTGAACTCTGGGCCTGGGCACTGTTCCTCAGCTCTTCAGCTCAAGGCTAGTGCTCTACCACTTGAACCAAGCGCCACTTCTGGCTTTTTCTGCTTATGTGGTGCTGAGGAATCGAACCCAGGGCCTCATGCATGCAAGGCAAGCACTCTAACCACTGAGCTACCTTCCCAGCCCCCAGATACTTCTTAGTAAATCATTCTTTTTTTTTGGGGGGGGTCCGGTTGTGGGGCCTGAACTCTGGGCCTGGGCGCTGTCCCTCACCTCTTCAGCTCAAGGCTAGAGCTCTACCACTTGAGCCACAGCGCCACTTCCGGCTTTTTAAATTTTTCTTATGTGGTGCTGAGGAACCGAACCCAGGGCCTCAGGCATGCAAGGCAAGCTACCACTGAGCCATCTTCCCAGCCCCCAGATACTTCTTAGTAAATCATTCTTGAACACCACCATTTTCTTCTCACTTATGAAGTTCAGAGAGAACAAACCGGAGGTATCGAACATCGCAGAACTAGAATAGGGGGCAAATTTTGGAAAAGTTGACATATCTGTTCTGAAGATCTAAAAACATCTAGGAAACGAACTCTCACCTAATTATCTACATTCAAGAAAAGAATTTGAGGCTGAGTACACTCAATTTGCATTTCTACCAATAGTGTAAAAGGGTTCCTTCCCTCTTATTGCTCTATTTTCTGCAGCATTTGCTAGGTTGTTTTTTTTTTTTTATGATTACCATTTTGACTTAAGGCTCCTCAAGAGATAAAAAAAAGAAGAAGAAGAAGAAGAAGTACCAGGCAGGTGCCAAGGCTCACATCTGTAATCCTAGCTACTCAGGAAGCTGAGATCTAAGGCTTGCAGTTCTAAGCCAGCCTGGGCAGGCTTAGACACTTATCTCCAATTAACAAGCAAAAAAGTGGGACCTAGAACTGTGGCTCAAGTAGTAGAGTGCTTAGCCTTGAACAAACAAGCTCAGACAAGATGCCCAGACCTTGAGTTTAAGCCCCAGGACTGGTACGGAGGAAAAAAAACAAACAACCAGTGCCTGGTGGCTCACGCTTGTAATTCTAGCTAATCAGGAGGCTGAAATCTGAGGATCACAGTTCAAAGCCAACTTGGGCAGAAGAGCCCATGAGACTCTTATCTCCAATAAACCACCAGAAAATCAAAAATAGAACTACCATATGAACTTATTATACTACTCCTGGGAACATAGTTAAAGGATTACAGCAATAGAAATACCTGTACACTCATGTTTACAGCTGCCTTACTCAAAATAGCTAAGCTATGGAATCAGCCTAAGTGCCCATGAATGGATAATGGATGAATGGATAAAGGAAATGTGCTATAGATGTACAATAGAATATTACTCAGCCATAAGGAATGAAATTGCTGGGTGTGGTGGTTCACGCCTATAATTCTAGCTACTGCAGAGGCAGAGACAGAAGTTTTGAGAGTAGGGACTAGCTTAAGCAGTTAATAAGATCCCATCTCAAAAACTAATTAAAACAAAAGGGCTAGAGTCTTGACTCAAGTGGTAGAGAGCTTGCCTAATCAAGGTCCAGGCTTGAGTCAGTACCTAGTACCTGAAAAATATCTCCCCCCACTGAAAAAAAGGATGGAACTGTAGAAATGGAAATCATCCTATTAAGCAAAATAAACTAAACTCAGAAAGATAAATAACAGGACTAAAGGCATGGCTCAAGTGGTAGTACACCTGCCTAGCAAGTATGAAGTACCGAGTTCAAGTCACAGTACCAAAAAAAAAAAAAAAGAGCCAGGTGCTAGTGGCTCATGCCAGTAATCCTAGCTACTCAGGAGGCTGAGATCTGTTGATTGAAGTAAGCCAGCCCAGGCAGTAAACTCCAGGAGACTCTTATCTCCAATAAACCCCCAGAAAACCGGAAGTGGCTCTGTGGCTCAAGTGGTTGAGCATTAGCCTTGAGCTGAAGAGCTGAGGCACAGCGCCAAGGCCCAGAGTTCAAGCCCCACAACAAGGAAGGGTGACGGGGAGGGGGAGCCTGATGTACACATTTGTAATCTTAATCTTGGCTACTCAAAAACTGAGATCATGGCTGGGCACTGGTGGCTCATGCCTGTAATCCTAGCTACTCAGAAGACTGAGATCTGAGGATCTGGGTTCAAAGCCAGCCCAGGCAGGAAAGTCCATGAGACTCTTATCTCCAATAAACCACCAGAAAACTGGAAGTGGTCCTGTGGCTCAAGTGGTAGAGTGCACCTTGAGATGAAGAGCTGAGGGACAGCGCCCAGGCCCAGAGTTCAAGCCCCATGACCAACCAAAAAAATAAAATAAATAAAAGAAGCAGCTGAGATCTGGAGGACTGCAATTTAAGGCAAACTTGCACAGAAAAGTTTACTAAGGTGCTATCTAAACACAGCCTTTGTTCTTTGGCCTAAGGATTATACACAGAGACTGAGTAACTCTCTCCTTGCTGCTACATTTCATACCCATGCTAGAAGACTTCCAAACAACTCTTTTAAAAAAGAAATGTTATTATTATAAAGGTGATATACAAAGAGGTTACCAATTTATAAGGGAGGTAAAGAGTACATTTCTTTTTTTTTGGTCAATCATGGGGCCTGAACTCTGGGCTTGAGTGCTGTCCCTCAGCTCTTCAGCTCAAGGCATCTACCACTTGAGCCACAGCACCACTTCCAGCTTTTTCTGCTTATGTGGTGCTGAGGAATCGAACCCAGGGCCTCAGGTATGCAAGGCAAGTGCTCTACCACTGAGCCACCTTCCCAGCCCCTAAAGAGTACATTTCTTTTCTTCTCTCTCTCCCAGTTTTTCCATCCCATCCCCACCTACCAGTTGTCAAGTTCATTTTCAGCATAGTGTCTAGGGAGGATCACTGTTGCATTTGCACAGCCTTTGTCCCTCCATTTCTGGGCCTCCCCCTCATCCTTTCAAAGCCACATAAACACAGAGGACAGAAAGAGAAGAAACACACATACACAAAAACAACAACAAAGGGAAAAAGCCTCTTGTTTCCATTTCCTGGAGTTCATTCTGATAAATATTTCATATGGTCAGAGACACATAGGCACTGTACCTTTGTGCTCCTCCCCTAAGAGTACTCTTCTTCGGTATCACTGTGCGAGAATGCCTAGTCCTGTATAATTTATCATGTCGCAGTGTGTTGTAGATCTAGCTTCTGCACAAGAGAGAAGTCATGCACCGCCAAACAACTGTTAAACTGCTTCAGGCCAGTCAGCAGTCAACCACACAGCTTTACTACATGCCAGCTGAACAAAGCCTAGAAACTTACAGCATGAAAAGGGCTGCTAATGAGAGCTAGGGTGGGAGGTGACATTAAGGAGATATTTCATTTGCCTATAATACAAATACACACACAAAACAATATGGCATTATATTACTCTGAGATCATACATTTGCTCTGGACCAAGGCTTCTCAACTTTAGTGCTACTGACATGGAGGGCAGCATGATTCTTTGTCCTGGGAGGCTGCCTCATGCATACAGGCCATTTAGCAATGCTCTAGTAACTCCCTGTAGTCAAGACAGGCTCAGGCCTGTAATCCTAGCCCTGGCTACTCAGGAGGCTGAGATCCAAAGATCATGGTTTGAAGCCAGTCTGAGCAATAGAGTCTGTAAGACTCTTTTTCTGTTTTGTTTTGTTTTGGGGAGGGTCAGTCTTGAGGCTTGAACTTGGTGCCTGAGCCCTGTCCTTGAACTCTTTTTGCTCAAGGCTAGCACTTTACGACTTTGGACCACAGCTCCACTTCCAGTTTTTGAGTGGTTAATTGGAAATTAGAGTCTCACAAGGACTTTTCTGCCCCAGCTGGCTTCAAACCACTGGCTTTGAACCACAATTCTCAGATCTGTCTCCTCAGGAGCTAGGATTGTAGGTAAGAGCCACCACCGCCTGACCCTTAAGAATCGTATCTCCAATTAATCACCAGAAAACTGGAAGTGGCGCTGTGGCTCAAGTGGTAGAGCGCTCACCTTGACCTGGAGTTCAAGCCCCACAACTGACAAAAAAAAAAGTTGGAAGTAGAGCTGTGTGTGGCTCAAGTGGTAGAGTGCTAGCCTTGACTAAAAAAAAAAAAAAGAGCTCAAAATAATAGCCTTGAGAGAACCACAGCTCTAGAATAAAAAATACCAATGGCTTGCACAGCATGAATATACGTGAAGTGATGTGTTGTAGGAATAAGTTGGCTAAGGAGATGAGAGGCTAAGAACCTAGTGTTAGGCATGAATCAACTTCATAAAACGCAATGTTTAGCAAAGAGATGTGGCATTACTGGCAGGGGCAGGTGGCTCATACCTATAATCCTAACTGCTCAGAAGGCTGAGATCTGAGGATCATGGTTCAAAGCCAGCTGGGACAGACAAATCTGTGAGACTCTCATCCCTAATTAACTAGATAATGCTGAAAGTGGAGACGTGGCTTACATGATGGAGCACCAATCCATGAGCAAAAGAGCCAAGCAAGAATATGAGGTCCTGGGTTCAAGTCTCATTCCCGGTACACCCAAAAATAAAACAAAATTAAATTGAGATGTGGGAAAATGCTAGCAAAGAGAGCTGAAATCTTGAAAGTACATCCACTCACTAAGACTGCAACAATGGCTACATAAATTAAGAGAAGTTGGAACAGAGCAGCAAACATCTAGTGACATACTGCGTGTCACTGCTCTGCTTATTTAATTCCTTGCGGATCAGTGATGCTGGAAGAGAAGGGCATCATGGACTCCTGTCGTGTCTGCCCTTGGGACAAAGGCAGCTATTCCAACACTGCCAGAGTTTCTGGTTTCTGTGAGGGAAATCAAGCCAGGAGCTGCCTACCTGAGAGTCCCGTTCTCCCCTTTGTCCAGGCTGGTGAACCGGCTGTAGAGGCGTGTGATCTGACTGTGGGAAACTAAAAGAAAAGCACACAATTAGTTCCAGCCAGGAAAGGGGGCCTCCAATCCCTGCAGCACCAACAACCTACCCTCAGGTGCTGGAGCACGAAAGATGGGGGACGTGCAACTCTTGAGTGTCAGGGCAGAAAGGTTAAAGGGTAAAGAGTGCAGGGAGTGAGACGCTGAAATAAATGAGGACCAACTGGAATCAACTATGAGGAATGAAATCAAGGCTTAGGCTAAATCAGGAACGTGTTAAAGAGACCATAGCTATAGCTCAACATGAGTAAGGATGGCCTAGTGCAAAACACACACACACACACACATATACACACACACACCCTTTGGGAGGGGGAGAAAGAAGGAAGAGGAGAGAGGAGAGCGTTAAGTGTTCAATGTAAAATGGTTAAGATTTAACAAGATACAAAGCCAAACCTCATTTAAAAGGAAACTGAGCCTTTCACAATGCAAAACCCTGAACTAGAGGCTATTGAAAATGCTTTGACTAAACACTCCTACCTACCAATTAGTTGGCTATTTTGGGCGGGCATGCTGGGTAGGTAACTGGTATGGAATTAAAGGTTGGGGCCTATCGTACAGGTTCTCTCCCCTCACACGCTCTTTCCTCAGGACTGACCTTTGGGTCACAGATTACCCTAACCTGGGAACAGCCTGAGATCCGTGGGTTCCCCTGAGTTTCCAGGGAAGCAGGGGGTTCCAAGGGAGCTAAGGGTCGAGCCACCATGGATAACAGCTGCAAGAAAGCTATTTTGCACTCCCTTTTGTATTTCCTCTGCAAACTCAGGCACAAATCATCAAGAAAAGGAGGTGCCAACTGCTAAGTGCCCATTCAATCTCTGAAAATGCAAAAAAAAAGAAAAAGGATATTGCTGGGAAATAAGGTGAGTCTCCTTGGCAAGACTGGAAGTCAGAAGGAACAGGACAACAAAATCAAGTGGTCACAGGAGAAAAGACCAGAGCCAGAAAGCGTGTGACCAGCGGGGACTCGGGTAAACAGGACAGGAGGGGAGGCTGGAGCTGGGGGTAAAGGACACACTGGGGCCTCTGTGCCTTCAAAGGTGGCTCTGTTAGGCCCAGGGCTGGAAGGTGAGCAGAGGCCTCAGGAGACCTAGTCACTCCCAGAGCGCGGCACCAGCCAGGCTCCAGTGCTAGAGGAAGCTGACGTGTGAAGGGCACTGGGTAAAGCCAGCACCCTGGTGAGGGTCAGGCAGGGAGATCTGACCCCATTTCAGACACCGGGGCGGTAAGCTATGAGCGGCTCCTGAAAGGCAAGTGCTGGCCAAAGCACCTGGCACAGGGTAAGCACTCCAGGTTAGCTATTATTACAGCCTGGGCAAGGAGAGCCTGAAGGAACATTTTTATTGCTTAAACTAATTACTCTCCACCTTCCTCCAAACTCTACCAGTCAAAACCGCTTTCCTTAGGAACTCTACCTCACCTGACCCCAGGCCTCAAAGGCTACATTTGTCCAAAAAGAATTGCACTTCCTACCTGACTCATGAAATGGTGACTCCTCTGAACAATACCTTAATGACAATAAAATTTCATTTTTAAAACATATGAGTCAGGTGCTGGCTGCTCACACCTGTAATCCTAACTACTCAAGTAGCTGAGAACTCAGGATCATGGTTCACAGCCTGGGCAGTTAAATCTGAGAGACTCTCACTCCAACTATCCACCAAAAACGCCACTAGAGCTTGGGCTCAAATGGTGCTAGCTTTGAGCGGAAAAAGCTAAAGGACAGTGCTCAAGTGCTGAGTTCAAGACCCAAGATTGACACATGTATACATGCACGTGCCCGCACACACACGCTCTCACACACACAGACAGGAAGGAATGTCTGGAGGGAAAATCAATGTATCACTACTTAAACTCATAATTTACCAATATGTTCAACACAAACGTGTATGTAAATAGCTAATAATCAAGAGACCCCGTGTCAGGACAAACTGAGCTATAAGGAAATCTTTTTCTTCCTCCCAGAAGTACTGGGGTTTGAACTCAGGGCCCCATGCTTGCAAGGCAGATGCTCTACTATTTCAAGTTCTACCCTCGTCCCTTTTGGCTTTTTACTCATTTTTCAAATAGGGTCTCATGTTTCTGCTAGGCAGGTCTCCAGCATAGCTGGGATTACAGGAATAAAATGCCACACCCAGCAAGCTACAGACCTTTCTATTATCACTCCCAGTGCTCAAAGCAGGAAGGCATTCCACGGAAGTGCCAAGCACGAAGATGGAGTGGCCCAGAGAAGAATGGAAACAAAAAGGGAATAAAGGATATTTTGTCCTTGCTTTTATCCTAATCGTAACACAGAAGATAACCTAAGTAAAACATACAACTACAATTGTGGGTAGTTCCAGATAAAGATTATAAAGAGGAAGCTTATACCGATACCCCTTAACATTACAGAATGTTCCACACCCGGATGTTTCCCCAAACATGACCACGACAAGATCTGGTCTACCCTTTTAAGAACTGAAAAGACTTAAGAGATATTTGATAGGATAAATAGACCAACTGGGATGTGGCTCAGTGGTACAGCTCTTTGCCCACCATGGTCAAGGCTGTGTGGGTTCAGTCACCAGGACCCCAAAAACACCACCAAAAAAGAACTAAAATCTTTTTTTTTTTGGTCAGTCGTGGGTCCTGCACTTTGGGCCTGTGCACTGTCTCTCAGCAATTCAGCTCAATGCTAGCATTCTACCACTTGAGCCACAGCGCCATTTTTTTTCTGCTTATGTGGTGCTGAAGAATCGAACCCAGGCGGAGCCTCATGGATGCAAGGCAAGCGCTCTACCACTGAGCCACCTTCCCAGCCCCAAATCTATCTTCTTGTAATAAGAAAATGTGAACATGGACTGAATAATAGATATTGTAGAGTTATTGTTGCTTTTTTGTTGTAATAGTATTGTGGTCATGAAAAAAATTGCTCTTCAGGGGTGAAGAGTTCTAAAAGCTGCAGCTCTCAAACTGTTCAAAGCACACGCGCACACACACGCACACGCACACGCACGCACACACACACACACACACACACCCAGAGCTCAATGGTACATCAAGTACTCATAACATACAGAAAGAAGCATCTTCCTCCCTAAGCCTTCCCACTGCTGGGATTACAGGCAAGAGCCACCACTCCCAGTACAACATGTATACCCCCCTCCTTTTTTTTTTTTCTTAGTCAGTCATGGGGCTTGAACTCAGGACCTGGGCACTGTCTCTGACCTCTTTTGCTCAAAGCTAGCACTCTACCACTTTAAGCCACAGCACCACTTCTGGTTTTCTGGTGACGAGAGTCTCAAGGGCTTTCTTGCCTGGGCTGGCTTTGAACTATGATCCTCAGATCCCAGCCTATTGAGTTGCTAGGTTACAGGTGTGAGCCACGGGCTTGGGCCTGTATCTTTTATTTTTGTAAGTGCTACTGGCCTCAACAGGGGAAACCCATAAGGGCTCCGTGCTCTGGAAATGCACAACCACTGTACAGCCACGTCCCCTGCCACAGGGCTTCACACTCCCTCACAGCCCTCTTCTCTAACCAGACTTGTGTGCTACTTTTTTTTTTTGGTCGGTCGAGGGGCTTGAACTCTGGGCTTGGGCACTCTCCTTGCGCTCTTCAGCTCAAGGCGAACACTAGTTTTTGAGTGGTTTACTGGATATAAGAGTCTCACAGACTTCCCTGCCAGGGATGGCTTTGAACCATGATCCTCAGATCTCAGCCTCCTGAGTAGCTAGGATTACAGGTGTGAACCACCAGCGCCCAGCTTGTGCTCACTTCTTAACCCCTTCCTGGCAACAGATGAGGATCAAACTTTGCATAGAGCCCCACAAATGACAGAACTCCAAAGCGGCCAAAGATGTTAGCTATCTGAATTTACATGTAGATAAAAGACAGGACAGCAGGGTCTTCTACAGGACAGACCCTTAGACACTAAGGGCATCTCAGTCAATGACATGGAATCCTCCTTTTCTGGTCAGTGGTACCCAGAGATTCATGCAAGTGTTCTGCCACTTGAGCCACAGTGCCACTCCTGGTTTTCTGGTGGTTTACTGAAGGTAAGAGTCTCACGGACTTTCCTGCCCAGGCTGGCTTTGAATCGTGATCCTCAGATTTCAGCCTCCTGAGTAGCTAGGATTACAGCAACTGGCATTATCAGGATTTTTATCCCTTTGGTTTTCCTTCCATAAAGCTGGCAAAACAACATCAGTTTTTAATTCCTGATGGTGACCACTTAAAGAGTACAAGTGTAAAATGTGGTCACCTCCCCCTTTAAATAGTCCTAGGATGGGGCTGGAAAGGTGGCTCAGTGGTAGTGTTTGCCTTGCATGCATGAGGCCCTGGGTTCAATTCCTCAGCACCATATAAGAAAAAAGAAAAAAGCCAGAAGTGGCACTGTGGCTCAAGTGGTAGAGTGCTAGCCTTGAGCTGAAGAGCTGAGGAACAGCGCCCAGGCCCAGAGTTTAGGTCTCACGACCGGACCCAAAAAATAAAAAAAAAATTTAAAAATAAATAGTCCTAGGGTGCCGGGCACTGGTGGTTCACACCTGTAATCCTAGCAACTGAGGAGACTGAGATCTGAGTTCAAAGCCAGCTCTGGCAGCAAAGTACGTGAGATTCTTATCTCCAATAAACCACTTAGAAAACCCGAAGTGGCACCGTGGCTCAAGTGGTAGAGCACTATCCTTGAGCTGAAGAGCTGAGGGACAGCGCCCAGGCCCAGAGTTCAAGCCCCATGACCAACAAAAAAATTAATTAATTAATTTTTTTAAATAGCCCTAGGGTTATTTTGTTTTTGTGATATAGTCTTGTGCTGTTCAGGCTGGCCTTGAATTCCAGGGCTTAAATGATCCTCCTGCCTCAGCCTCAGGAATAGTTTGGACACAGCTTTTTTGTTTGTTTTTGTCAGTAGTGGGGTTTGAACTCAGGGCCTGGGCACAGGTCCCTGATCTTTTCTTCTCAAGACTAGCAGGCTCAGACTTTGAGACACAGCTTCACTTC